AAAAAAGAATAGCAGAGTAACAGTTGGAAGGGACCTTGGAGGTCCTCTAGTCCAGCCCCCTGCTCAAGCAGGAGACTCTATTCCATTTCAGGCAAATGGCTGTCCTGTCTTTTCTTAAAACGGACGAAGGAAGAATCCCCCAATTCTTATTTTTAACTTGTTCTGCACAGCGTCAATGCAGATTCCGAGCTGAAAACCCATCAGTTTTGTGTTCCTGCAAAATATTTGCTTCTCTTCTCACAACTCTCTGAACTAGGTCAGGGAAAGGCATTCGTACAGCTCGTTAAATTAGGCTACTATTACCTAACCTAGATTAGTTTCTACGGCCTGATTTCAACTGGATGGATTAGTCTGTGGTTCAGTGACGGGGTGAACTCAGGACACAGGTCTCCAGAAGCTGTGAACGCTCCAACACTGGAAGTTTTTAAGAAGAGACTGGACAGCCATTTGTCTGAAATGGTATAGGGTTTCCTGCCTGAGCAGGGGGTTGGACTAGATGACCTCCAAGGTCCCTCCCAACTCTTATCATTCTGTCTTTAAGGATACTAGATTGAGCAGGATGCATGAATGCATCCATACTAGCTAACTATCCTTGTCTACTTTATGGTTACGTGGTCCCACATCACCCTTAACCAGGTCAAGTAGAGACCTAGCAGATGTATGCTTGCAATAGACCATGCTTGGGGTATGGGGGGGGGGCAGTTTTGGGAGAGATTATAAATATATGCTTTTTTAAATTGTGGCCTTTTTCTCCTTTAGCTAAGCCCGCCAGCTTTTGCAAAAGCTTTCTCCAAATCAAACTCGGTTCCGGGAATCCCAAGTGAGTTTGTTTGTCTTTGGAAACCTGAACCACTTTCCAAGCAGTGTATATTAACCACGGTTGGGTTCTTCCTGGCTTATTGGGGCACGCAAGGCCCAGTCCAGGGGTAGGCAACCTGGGCTCTTTTATGACTGGTGGACTTCAACTCCCAGAATTCCTGAGCCAGCCACGCTGAGGGGAAAGGGAGAGGTTTCCAAGCTGAGCCATGCTGGCTCAGGAATTCTGGGAGTTGAAGTCCACGAGTCATGAAGGGGCCATAGTTCCTCCATGCTGGCTGAGGAATTCTGGGAGTTGAAGTCCACGAGTCATGAAGGGGCCATAGTTCCCCCATGCTGGCTCAGGAATTCTGGGAGTTGAAGTCCTCGAATCATGAAGGGGCCATAGTTCCTCCATGCTGGCTGAGGAATTCTGGGAGTTGAAGTCCACCAGTCATGAAGGGGCCATAGTTCCCCCATGCTGGCTCAGGAATTCTGGGAGTTGAAGTCCGTGAGTCATGAGGGGGCCATAGTTCCCCCATGCTGGCTGAGGAATTCTGGGAGTTGAAGTCCGCGAGTCATGAAGGGGGCCATAGTTCCCC